TTTTGTGTTTTTGTTGTTGATGTGTTCGAGTTTTCTAGGAATTTCAGTGATAAGTTCCTTGTCAGATATGTCATTGCCGAATATTTTTTTCCCAATCTATAGGTTCTCTTTTTACTCTTTTGAAAAGTCTTTTGATGCACATAAAAATTTAATTTTTAGAAGGTACCAATCATCTAATTTATCTTCTGCTGTCTGTACATTTTAGGTTATGCTTGATAGTCTATTTATGCCATAAATTAGCACCCCTAAGTCTGCCCTTATTTTTTTTTTCTTTGATGAACTTTATAGCTTTAGGTTTCACATTTAAGTCTTTGATCCATCTGGAGTTAGTGTGTTAGTTTTTGTGTATGGAATGAGGTATGCATCTTGTTTCATTTTTCTGCAAATGAATATCCAGTTTTACCAGCACCATTTATTAAAGAGACTATCTCTCCCCATTTAATGGATTTCAGCCCTTTGTCAAAGATGAGTTGGCCACAGGTGGATGGATCTATTTCTGGGTTCTCAATTCTGTTCTACTGGCCTATGTGTCTGTTGTTGTACCAATACCAAGCTGTTTTGACTACTGTAGCTGTATGCAGTATGTTTTGAGATATGGGAGTATGAGACCTCCCACTTTGTTTTTTTGTTTTGTTTTGTTTTGTTTTTTCCTTCTTCAGTAGTGCTTTTCTTACTGAGGTCTCTTTTCTTTCCAAAAAAATATTAGTGATTGGTTTTTCCATATCCTTAAAGAATGTTGACTGAATCTGGATTGGGAATGCACTGAATGTATAGGTTGCTTTGGGCAGTACTGACATTTTCACAATGTTCAATCTTTCTATCCATGAGCATGTTATGTTCTTCCATTTATGTAGATCTCATAGTTTCTTGAAGTAGTGTTTTATAGTTTTCTCTGTATAGGTCTTTGTGTCCCTGGTAAGATTTATTCCCAAGTGTTTTATCTTTTTGGTACCTATTGTAAATGTTATTGATTTCTTTATTTGCTTTTCAGAGACTTCTTTGCTGGTGTAGAGGAATCCAATTGATTTTTGTAAGTTGATCATGTTTCCTACCATGATGTTAAATCCTCCAATAAGTTCCAGTAGTTTTCTTGCTGAGTGTCTTAGGTTTTCTATGCATAGAATCATTGTTGTTGTTGTTGTCATTAGGTGTTGTCGAGTCAGCTCAGACTCATAGTAACCCTACGTACAACAGAATGAAACACTGCCCAGTCCTACATCAGCCTCACAATCCTTGCTGTACCTGAGCCCATGGTGTCAATCTTTGCTGACTCTCCATTTTACCAAGCATGATATCCTTCTCCAGGGAATGATCCCTTCTGACAACCTGACCAAAGTAGATTAGACGAAGTCTGGCCATTCTCACTTCCAAGGAGCATTCCAGCTGCACTTCTTCCAGGGCAGATTTGTTCGTTCTTCTGGCAGGCCATGGTACTTCCAGTATTCTTTGCCAACATCACAACTCAAAAGCATCAACTCTTCTTTGGTTTTCCTTATTCATTGTCATCTTTCACCTGCATATGAGGCTACTGAAAACACCATAGCTTGGGTTAGGCCTACCTTACTCTTCAAAGAGACATCTTTGTTCTTCAGCACTTTAAAGAGGTCTTTTGCAGCAGATTTGCCTAGTGCAATATGACCTCTGATTTCTTGACTGCTGCTTTCATGGGTGTGGATTGTGGAACCAAGGAATATGAAATCTTTGACAACTTCAATCTTTTCTCTATTTATCATGATGCTGTTTATTGGTCCAGTTGTAAGTATTTTCATTTTATGTTGAGGTGTAATCCATACTGAAGACTGTAGTCTTTAGTCTTCATCAGTAAGTGCTCCAAGTCATCTTTACTGTCAGCAAACAAACTTGCGTCATCCATATCATAGGTTGTTAATGAGTCTTCCTCCTATGCTAATGCCCCGGTCTTCTTCATATAGTCCAGTTCTCAAATTATTTGCTCAGCATGCAGAGTGAATAAGTATGGTGAAAGGATACAACCCTGACACACTCCCTTCCTGATATTAAACCATGCAGTAACCCCTTGTTCTGTTCAAATGACAG